AACTAACTAACTAACTTAAACTTTAACTTACTACGTACGTTACGTACTACTAACTAACTAACTAACTAATATAACTAACTACTACTATATATATATATATATATATATAGAAAAAAATTAGCTTAATTGCTCTATTTACATATTCCTATTTCAAGCTTCTTAGGGCACATTTGGAGAAAAGAGACATAAATTTCTCTGAACTTTTGACAGATGCCATACCTACTTTCTACACACACAGTTGTGACTTCTCAGCCAATTATACTTAGTTGAGCTAGATGTTTATAACACATTTTAAAATATGGTACTCCTAACAGTTATTTTAAAATTGACACAAAGAATTCCATAGAGAACTAGTCAAACCACTCTTAGCATTGTTGCTGCTTTTGTCCTTGCCACGTTAGCATTTTTTCTTATCTATAAATATGTTAATTAGATAGACAGTTGTATTGTATTTATGTTTTAGTTTTATATTTTACCTAATTATGTGTTATTTATGTTTTAAGATGCATATTTGAAAGGATTAATAATTTTTTAAAATTGAAAATATCTTCTCCTCAGTTCATGAGGGCTAGCATGTGTGCCATTCTAACAATGACTAAAATGTTTCAGCCCGTGATACTGTAATATTGGCTGGGGATGCCCATGGACATGTGTTGCGATGAAAAATAACAATGATAAAGGAAAATAAAACAATAAAAAGAAATTATATGTGAAAGTTAAAATTTTCTTACACTGAAAATGTATTTCAGATAGGTAATTACCTCCACCAAAAAATATCTGCGATCAGTGCATCAGCCTATATACCTCATATATTTCGTGCCATTTCTGAACATGTACATATCATGTGACTACTCTCCACCAACAGTACTGCACCACCTATATTGGCACAGCTAGCTCCTGCTGCTATTCCCACTCAATCCTAACTTTCAAGAACTAGCAGACACCAAAAGGAGAACACCAGCAGAAGGGAGGTAAGTATCTATCGGAAATACATTTACAGTGTAAGAAGAATGTTAACTTCTGATATGGTCTTACCTCTTTCACATAAAGCTAGAATTCCACATTGCAGAGGTGGAGAAGCCAGTACAGGTGCACAAATATCAAACCAAGTGGAAAGTAACCACCCAGAATGAACTGGTGTGCTCACCTGTGGGGTTGCATTACTTCTGGAACAGGTATGCTCTTCACCCAGGAGGTAGGAAATGAATCCAAAATGGGCAGAAAAAGGTGCAAGCTATAGTAACATAGAAATGGAATGAGCTATGTACATTCTCAACCTCAATAGGGACTGGTGCGGTTCCATAACTCGTCTTCGGCATTAGGAGATTTAGGATGAAAAAAACTTGTAACAACAACATTGTGGCTAGGTCATGTGGACCATGTTATTCATACCAAACAACCCCAACTCTAAGTAAACAGTGTCATACATCAAACAACCAGAATTACAATGAGGAATTGAGCTTTCAGTCATAACTGTACAAACTCTCAAAACCACTGTAGGAGCAAGAATTACAATAAACCGAATCCAGCATTATGGGGTCATGGCATTGCCTTGACTCAACCGTAAGAACAGGATAAAGCTGTAACCAGTATTACATGCAAATTCATAACTCACTCAACCGTAAATGCAGGGCAGAGACTTCCTGTATCCAGAATTATGAGAAGGGCATGGAACAATTGCCCAACCACAGGGACAGAGCACAGATGTTCTGTTGCCAGTATTAAGAGGCAGACAAAGTCTCCCAAACTCAACTTTAGAATCAGAGAAAGAACCTTCTGCAACCAGAATTAATGAGAATGAATCTACTGCACTCCACTGTAGGAACAGTGCATTGTCATCCTGAACCCTGCATTATGAGGAGGATCTCACATAGGCCTTGTCCTACTCGAACCAATTAATTTATTATTCTGTCTATCTGGAAAAAAGCATCCAGAGTAAATAGAAAGAGCTTTGCTTTCTTCTCACTGAGTGGATAATAATGAGTATGCATTATAAAATAAATTTCTAAACTTACTCAAGAGGAAGCCTCCATGGTCCACTACCCCAGCGACTGGAAATTGAAAGTAGTAAGGACACCCATGCTCCAATAGAAGAAAAAAAAAGGGGGGAGTGTGTGTGTGTTGGGGAGTCTGGAGGAATGTCACACTGGAGACAGTACAATGGGCATCTGCAATTCCTTATTTTGAAAAGCAGACCTACTCCGACTTATTCAATCAAAGTATTGGCAGGAATGGACAGAAACCCCCTTCTGCTTTACTTATGAAGTCATCAAGTGATGGTCCACAATAAATAGTGACTGATATCTAGTATATAACCACACACACACACCACTGTGGTGTTACGGAAACACCTCATCTCTACAGTGAGTATTATATAGCAACTCTAAACTAGAGAGGGTTTGAGGCAAAGCATACTTGACCAGACAACACCCACCACATAGTGGAATCCCATTATCAGCAGTTAAAACTAG